TGGAGGAATACTAGCATCTTTAGTCTCTTTAACAGGATCCAAAGAATCAGAGTCAAGAATAGCATCTTTAATCTCTTCAACAGGATCATTTGAATCAGGATCAAGAAAATCCTTGCTATCATCTTTGACCTCTTTAACAGAATCCATTGAAACAGGATTCGTTGGACTCAAACGAGCAGGAGCAGAATCAAGAAAATTTACCTCAACTGGAACGACCGAATCAATCTCATCAGCCCAAGATTTCTTACTAGATTGAGAACTAGAAGCTCCTGCAACCTTTCGAGCAATCACCTGAGGAGTGACATGATCCATACCAGTTCCAGTGTGAGAGCAAGAATGCCGAACAATCTCTTGAGAAGAGATCAGATTCCTACTAGATCCAGAGAAAGAATTCTTCAAGATATCCGCCATCAATCTCTTTTTCTTTTCTCCCTTTGGCCCCGTTGACCCCATCGGGATCAAAGAAACTTCATCTTCTTCAGCCGATCCAGAATCAGACTGATCAGAATGAATCACAGAACTCAAATTTGAAGAACTAAAACCAAGATTTAGAATTTTTTTCCCATGATTTCTTCTCTTTTTCGCCATTGTTCATCACGGCGGGAGGCGCACAATAGCAGTGAAAATCGCCTGCTATCGTGCTCCTAACTAACTAACCGCCCCTACTCATTGATTCTTTTTATATTTTTGTCCTAACATAACTTTTTTTTGTTTGATCCCTAACATAACATTTACAAGTCAACTTTTCGTACTTCAAACCTTATTATCTCCTCATCTATTAGTTGTTATTAGCCAACCTTGTTGGATTATAAAATAATTTTTTAACCTTAAGAAAAATGTGCATGCAGCCATTTTTGAAAAGAAACACAAGATGACGAACTTGCCAAAAATTTGTTTAAAAAAAGAAAAAGTGGTGGGCCCCACCACAAGAAAAATTTGGGCTTGGGTCCCACATGAATAGTAAATAATATTATTTTATTAGTACATAGTGTTTTCCCAAACGCTATAAATAGACCACAAATCCTGAAGGAAAATTCATTCCAAAAAAAACAATCAATAAATATAGATATATATGTTGTAGAACAGTTAGTGCTCATAGGAACAGTGCCTAGACCGAGAAGTTCTAATAGATCGAGGAGATCTTTTGCCTGATAGATCGAGGAGATCTTTGTCTGATAGACCGATGAGATCTTTTGCATGATAGATCGAGGAGATCTTTGCCTTATAGATCGAGGAGATTTTGACAGTACTGGTGTCACGCCCCGCTTCCCAAAATACCGGGGAATCGGAGCGTGAACAAGCCCGCGACGTATTAGATTGAGAAGAAATATATATATATATATATATATATATATATATATATATATATATATATATATATGTAGAAGTAGAAATAGAAATACATAGTCCATAATAAAGAAGTTCTGCCAAAATACGAAGATCCGACATTAACTAAAGAAATAAAATGATAACGAGTTCTAATGTTCATCAACTACTACATAAAAGAAAAACACGTCTAGGCTTCAGTTTGTTCTTCCACTCCATCGGAAGGACACTCCGGCTGGGTATACTCCGGCGCTACTGCCTCCTCGAACTGAACCTGTTCGTCTCCTAAGTCTGACGCACACCAGAGAAAAAACAGGTGTACGTCAGCGTGTATGGCACACGGC